AAAAATTTAACTAATATAATTTGTTATATTAATAGGTCAAAGAATCAAATTCTTCCATCTTCTTTAACCAATGAGAGTATTTATTGCATCAATAGCAAAAAGAAAAGACTATATAACCATTTCAATAGATGGAGAAAAAGTATTTGCTGAAAATATCTAATCCTGATTAAAAATCATACAAAACCAAAACCAATTTTAGTAAACCAGAGCAAAAGAAAATATTCTTAGTATGATAAAATATTAGTCAAAACCAGAAGTAAGCAACATCTCCAGTTCTAGATTAAAACACCCGCAGGGACTTCTATTCAAGTCAGGTACCAGACAAGGATGTTGCTGTCATTCAGAGTGGTCCTTCTGAAACATAAATCAGATATCATGCCTGTGTTCAAAATCTTGCAATTATCTCCCCATTTTGCTCAGTATTTATAAAAGACAAAAGTTCTTACAATGGCCAACGAGGTCTGGTACTGCCACTTTCCACTTTGGTACTCCCATTTTCACTCCATCCCCAAACTCAATGACCTCACTGACCATTCTCCTCCTTATTCACTCACTCTAGCAACAATGGCTTTCTTTTTTTTTTTTTGGTTCTTTCCTCCAAAATGCCAAGTGTGCATTCATCTCAGAAATTTTGCACCTGCCACTCCCTCTGCATAGAATGCTCTTTCACCAGTTAATAACGTCAGTCACTCTCTCACTCCTTCAAGTTTCTGTTCCAAGACCGCCTCTCTGAAAGGTCTTCCCTGATCACCCTACATAAAATATGACCCCTCCACTGTCACTGTCTATTCCCTTAACCCATTTTTCCACTTTGGGGTACTTATCAACAGTCAATTTATAACAAAATGCAATTGTTTATCTATCTTCTCAACAACTAGACTATAAATTGTTTTATTCACTGCTATATTTATTTCCCAGAGCCCAAAATAGTGCCTAGTCAATAAAGGTACTAGATAAATATGTTTTGAATATATAAAGACATAAACTATTTTTCTAGTGTTTCTAACTAAAGGAGTCAGATGAGAAACGAAAAGTTGAGATATTAGAAAAAAACCAAAAACTACTATTTGTAGATAACTAGAAATGAATCAACACAAAATATTAGAAGGTTAGTAAGTGGACCAGATAGATATAGGATGGATATATAAAAATCAGCAGTTTTCCTACATACTTATAGCTTGTTTGAAAATGTAAAAAATTTACTATAGCATCAAAAATATAAGACATATAAGCCATTTAAAAATGTGTAAGACTGTAACAAGAAAACTATGAACATAAAATAACATTTCAATAAATGAAGACAAATTATATTACTAAATGTTGAAAAGGTACTAATATTAGTTCTTTCTGAATTAATCTAGAAATACAATGTCTTTTCAGTCAATATCCCAATGTAGTTTTTGGTAACAGACAAACTGATTTTAGTTCATCTTTTAAAAAAGGCCTAAGAATAAGTGAGAATATTTTGGAAAATAATAATGAAAGGAGATTTAGCCCTATAAGACAGCAAAAGAGAATATTAAACTCTAAATAATTATTACAACTGTGGTACTGATATGGAAATGGAAAAAAGATCAATGGAGGAGAGAAACACAGATTTGAATACACATGGGATCATCTCACAGGCTTCACAAACTCAACCGTGACTACACTGAAGGTATCACTTTTCCTCGTTACAAATCCTAGTTGCTCTCCAAAATGCCCTGTATCCCAGCAAGTGGCACAACATTCACTCAGCTGCAAGTCAGAAACCGGGGAATCATCTTTAAACTTCTCCTTCAAACCCAACCTTCAATTAATCACCAAATTCAACATCCCTCAAACACACTCGCCAGTTCTCTCACAACTCATATCTACTGTTAGCACCCCAGTTCCAGTTACTATCAATTCTTTTCTGGATCATTGCACCAGCATCTACTTAGGTTCCCACACTCACTTTTACCCCCTTCTGATCTGTTCTCCAAATTACAAACAGCATGATCTTTTAAAATCACAAATGTAATGATGTAAGTACCACTTAAAACCCTTTAATGCCTTCCCAGGTTCTTAAGATAAAAATCAAAATCCTTCATCTGGCCTATAATAATAGCTCATTAATGGGTAAATAGACTCCTGGACAGCTTCAACTATATTAGAATATCTTTTTTTTTTTTTTTT